AAAAAAAAAAAAATCTCAACCTCGTTTAAGAAAGAATCAGAACAGGTAACATAATGATTTGTTTGGGTTTTGTTTTGCAGTACATGGAGTGGAACCCAGCAGCACTTTACCACCAAGCTACATCTCCAGCCCTTTTTATATTTTATTTTTTTAAATTTTGAGACAAGGTTTCAAAGTTGTCCAGGGTGGCATCAAACTTATGATCGTCCTGCCTCAGCCTCCCAAGTCACTGAGATTATAGGTACATCACATCCCCCAGCCTCCAAAATGTCTTGCTGGAGTTGAGCACCCGTTATGCCCATTGGATGGAGTCCTCCAGCTCAGACATCTTTGTGTTATTTTCAGGAATTTGCAATCCCTCCTTGAGAGATGCTAATTCACATGACTCTCACCTAAACATCTCCATGAAGAAAGGAAAGGGAGTGTCATCATTATTAAACCCATTTTGAAGTGAGGAATTTGAAGCTCAGAGGCTAAAGGACTTGCAAAAGATTCCATAGCCAGTGTTTTTTGGAACTGGCTTGAACTCAGGGGCACTCAACCCTGAGCCGTATCCCCAGCCCTATTCTGTATTTTATTTAGCAACTAAGTTGCTTAGTGCCTTGCGGTTGCTGAGGCTGGCTTTGAACTGACTATCCTCCTGTCTCAGTCTCCCAAGCCACTGAGATTACTGGTGGGTGCCACAGTGGCCAGCCATAGCCAATGTCTTTTGTTTTTGTTTTGGGGTACCAACCATTGAATTCAGGGGCACTTGACCACTGAGCCACATCCCCAGCCCTATTTTGTATTTTTATTTAGAGTCAGGCTCTCACTGAGTTGCTAAGCACCTCACTTTTTGCTGAGGCTGGTTTTGAATTTGCGATCCTCCTGCCTTAACCTCCAGAGCTGCTGGGATTATAGGTGAGCACCTCTGGGCCTGGTTTATAGCCAGTGTCTTTTTTGTGTGTGTGGTGCTGCAGATTGAACCCAGATCCTTGTGCATGTGAGGCAAGTACTCTACCAGCTGAGCTATATCCCCAACCCATGGCCCGTGTCTTTTGCCTCCTAACTCCGAGCTGCATCAGATCCCACATTCTCCTGCTTCCGCCACTACCTAGTCCTGAAATGAAGCGATCAGCTCCAGCAGCCCTGGCCCCCAGGAAAGATACTCTCACCCTGGTCTTCTTACTTGGATGCCACCAAAACAGCCTCTCTTGCCTCCATCTGCAGTTTGGTGTAGTTCTGCAGGCCCCAACGGAGGACAGCGAAGAATACTGGGAAGAAGACGCAACCTAGTACAAAGAGCAGGGCCATGCCTGTCTGAGGTAGAGAAGGGGAAAAGAAATGGTTGTGAGAACTCCTCAACCTTGCGGTGGTCCGTGAGATCCGCTCAGCTGCAGCCATTGAAAATCATTGCGTTTCTAACATCCTTCATCCGGGGTAATTGAACATCCTGGTGTTTGGTTTTGTTCTGTTTCATTTTGTTTAAATCTAGTATTATTTAATTCATTTTCCCTGCCATCCCTGAAGCTGACCTACACCTCCTAGTCCATCTCACACCTTAAAATGGCTTCTCTTTCTCCTCCACCGCAGTGATGTGCCTGCCCTTTCTTAACTCCACCCTGATCATCCTCCGTTCCTATGTCACCCTTGACTCCTCCGAGGGGCTCAGACTTCTCACAGGTCTCACCTCTCAGCGACAAGGTGGGAGGACTGAGAGGGAGGTTGATGTTTCTCCTCAGCACCCAAAACTTGGGAAAAGGAAGGGAGGGGGTGTTCAAATTGTCAAAACACTTGAAATTTTAAAATAACATTAAAAAAAAAAGCCAAAGTGTTTTTTACCCCATAAAAACGAAAAAAAAAAAAAAAGAAAAAGGAAACCCTGAAAACACGGATATTTACATAGATATTATTTTTGCCTGGCAAAGCCTCCCCTCCCACCCGCTCCGAGGAGGAGAGGAGTGGGGAAGGCGCAGGAGGGACGCAGGTGGCCGGGGCCTGCCATCCTCCATCCCTGGAGTGCTTCTGAAGGGACCTTCTCAGGCTACAAGGAAGATGTCAAACTGCAAGGGCACGAGGCTGCTCAGCCGAGGCAGTTGGAGCCCCAGGAGCATCGCCCTCCCATTGGCCAACCTCTTGACACGGGTGCCCTATCGTTTATTTCTGCTGGGGCGGAAGTGGGCAGGGCGTTCTAGCACCTTGTGTAGAATTAGCCAATTAGAGTTTCCTGACGACTTGATGGACAGCGCATTTCAGAGGGGGAGCTGGAAGAAAAGGAATAGGAAGAAGAGGGAGAATAAGAAAGGTCGGTTATTGCTTTAAAAGGTAGTAGTGAAGCTCATTGCCGCGTCTCATGTCTCTAATCCCAGCAGCTCTGGAGGCTGAGGCAGGAAGATCTGAAATTCAAGGACAGCCTCAGCAATTTAGTGAGGCTCTAAGCAATTTAGTGAGATCATGTCTCAAAATCAAAGAAAGCAAAAAAAAAAAAAAAAAAAAAAAAAAAAAAAAAAAAAAAAAAAAAAAACCAAACAAACAAAAAAAAACAGCCTAGAGATGTGGCTCAGTGGTTGAACGTCCCTAGGTCCAGATTGTGGTGGTGGTGGTGGTGGGGGAAGGTGTGGGGCAGTAGAGAAACTGGTCCTGGAGCACCTCAGCGACAAGGGAGGCTGAGACAGGAGAATTGCAAGTTCAGCCTGGCAATTTAGGGAGACCTTGTCTCAAAAGAAAAAAAAAAATAAAGGACTGGGATGTAGTTCAGTGGCAGAGCACTCCTCAGTATCTCAGGTAAGTGAATACAAAAATTAAAAATGCTAAGGAAATTGTGGCTCTTCATTCCCTGAATGATGGTGAGCAGAACCTCTGTGGGCCTCGGTATCTTCCTCTGTGAGATTGAGATCATAATGATGACAGCTAATTATATTGCATTTACTGTGGGCCAGACTCTGAGTGCTTAAAAACATGAAATCATTTTTTCCAAATAACCTTGTGGGTAGGGATTATTATTGTATCTACTTTACAGTTGGGAAAACAGTGGTACAGAAAGGCTTGGTACCTACCCCAAGGTTACAGTTAGGAAGGGAATGAGGTAAGTATTTCTTTCAACCATATTTTCTGAATCTGTTGGTCTCTATAATGTTAAGCAGATATAGGAAACTCAAAAACTCATTATCCTAAAGAAATTAAAGGGTTTTTGATGGTTTTGCTGCTGGGGATTGAACTTATATGAGAGTTTTTTTTTTTTTTTTTTTTTAAGGAGGAAAAAGATACTCCCGAATACAATTTAAACATCTTAATTCATATTTTTAGAACTTATGTCTGTTAACAGTTCTTGCTACTTTTTTAACACTTATTTTTTGGTTGTAACTGGACATAATATCTTTATTTTACTTATTTATTTTTTATGTGGCACTGAGGTTCGAACCCAGGGCCTCCCACATGCTAGGTGAGCGCTCTGCCTCTGAGCCACAATCCCAGCCCCCAGTTCTTGCTACTTAACTACTCAACCTCCATCATGGGCCTCTGAAGATTAAAGATGGTTTATAAACCAAGAACAAGGTAAAGTTATTTAAGATGAGACCTCTGATTGCCTAACCAGTGATCAGTGTCCAGTCTCACTTTTTTCCTTTTGAATGTGTCCATTTAAAAACTACATTTCCCGGCTACTCTTGCAGTTACATGCCTGGTCAATGTGATGTAAACTGAAGTCATTATAAATGGGAGTGAGAGAAAAGTTCTTTTGTGTGTGTGTGCATGGGGGTGGGGGTGGGGGTGAGGAGTTGGAGATAGA